ATAAGAGAAAAGTCATTGTCGTTGTTGTTATTTGTAACTCAACTATGTTTCTTTATAGTGTGGATTTTTCTAATTTGCTTGCAAGTGGGAAACTGGAAAACAAGAATTCTGTTAAAGTAAGAAACATGTTATTCAATGAATGTAGAATTAAAGAATTGATACAACTGATTGATTAACTTTGTGGGATCTGAAAAGGTGATAACATCAAMGGCAACTCTGAAGGGATTCAGAAAGCACTCAAAAAATCTAAACCTAATTCATTTGATGGTCTCATGATTTGTTATCATGGATTATTTTCAGTTTTCTGCACCTGATGGAGTAGAATTTGCTACATTCATTGCCAAGATATGCTGTCTTCTACACTTTTCAGGTAAGGCACACTTATCCTCCTTTCTTGTCATGGTTATGCAGCTCTATCTTGGGGGCAAAATACTGGATTCTAGTTGAACAGAGCTCTAGTTTTTGACCCTCTGATGAAGCTGTGTCATGCAGGATGGCAATTATGTTAATYCAGCTGGTATCCTCTTGTCATGGTAGCATACTAGCTGGATTTAGAGCAGATATCGATTGTATGACTGCACAAAGCCACTGATCACGGCACAGACATGACATGGTAGTCATGGAACCTGGTAGTGACACCAAATGAAAGCACATAGATGTCACGCCATGATACTGTGACGACACGGAATTGCTGTGTTTTTTATTGTTGTTGTTGTTGTTTTTTGGTTTTTTTTTGCACGGTAATATGAAATCCGTTCTTACACTGTAAAATTATTACTTGGTTTCCTGAAAACTATACAAACAGTGGTGACAGCCATGTCTTTGATTCAACCAGCCACTGTAGTTKGTTTTCAATCTGTGGATTGTCAGAAACAAATATTTCCATGCAAGTAAATAATGCATGTATTTTGAATACAAAACTCAGAGTCCTTGCAGTGCCTTGAAAATTGTAACCTCCTTGCATTTTGCTTTCTATATGCTTTTTATTTGTGTTTTTGTGATGAGGATGTTAAATTGAAATTTGTTTTTTATGAATTTTCAGTTGTTGAGCAAGTTGATAATGGAGCATCRTTGTACTCAAGATCTATCCAGTCACATGACCTGTGTCTATTGGTCAAATCTATCAATGTAAGTCATTGGTTAGATTTTTTACTAGTAGCTACATTGACTTACATGATTGGTCAACTCTATCAATGCAAATGATTGGTTTGTCAAATTTTACTGTCTGGTAGTCAACATGATTGGTCAATTCTATCAGTGCCACTGATTGGCAAACACCGAGTGGTGGTCATACTGCAGTTATACCGTTATGCGTCATTGTAATCTGTGATTGGCCAATAAATTGATTAGAGTGTTTCATTGCAGGGTACTACTATATCAATTGATGGTAAATGCACAGACAGTTCTCTTCTCTTCAATGTCCTCAAGGAAGCAGAAGGTCTTGATGCCAGCTAGCTACACACAATGATMATAATTATATGGGAACATTGAATAGGAAACAAAAGAACTGAAAACAATAGTTGTATTTGTGAAAGGATTATAGGATGAATCAATACAATCAGTAGTCACAGTCTGCTTCCTCTGAAACAACCTAAATTTTGCTTTAATACTACTAAAGTTTCCTGTGCGTATACAACAATCTGCCCCTGGACAGTTTATAAGCTAACAGAATAGCTAGAGCAGTGCTTTCAGATGTCTCGGTACCTTAATTGGTATTAATTCTTAGTGAATAGTTTAGTAGATTATTTGGACTCTATGAAAACAGCAGCACGCTCATGCTCTATTCAGCTCTATATTCATTTTATCCTTTGGTTGAAGTTCATGTAAATGTACACCATTTCACTCACATTTAACACAGCAATTTGGTACAACATGGCTAGTGAATACAACTTTATAAGACATTCCACACTTAAACACACTTCCACACTTATTGTATTGTATTGTATTGTAAACTTGATAATACTTTTGAGTTTTTGGATCAATGAATCCTGTACAACATTTGATCTAAAATATTTGGGTCAATAGTCATTTAGGACATTATTCAAGGGTTTAAATTTCCCAATAATTACAGTCATTGAATTGTTCAGTCCACATTTCATTGGTTTCTATGATTATAGTACAGGTATTCACATATCAGGAATGAATGTAGATTATTATATACAAATAGGGCAGATTGAATTTTACAGAATTTTCATATTTTCAAGGTTTTAATCAGTTGACCGAAAGAAGCTTTAATAGGGGTCAAGACAACAACAGGAAAATGCTTTGCATGCTGAATATTATAATAATTGTGGCAAAACTGCTAAATTTAATGTGCCTATCTTTAAATATTATTTGTAAGTGAAATTTCRACGTTTTAATGTGATAATCTTTGGTTAATGTGAAGGAAATTCTGTTCAGTGGTAGCTAAAGTGAAAGTAGAGTACAAACGCTGATAGTTGGACAGTGATTTTCCAGTGATGATTGAAAGAGTACTAGGCTTCACACTCCTTGTTTTCATTGCAAAATCTGTCATCTAGAACAACATAGTCCTTTCCTTTTCACAATTGATGGGAAAATCACTATTTATTTCTAATTAAAGCAAAATAGACAAATTATAGAAAACAATCGAMGAGAATAGAGTGAAGTTATTAAACCTGTGATAGTCAAATTGATCCACAAAGAAAACAATACAATTGCAGTATGCTAATTCATGTAATATATCTATTTCCCAGGTTTTTTAACTCCACTCTAATGTATTATTTAGTTGTATAATGCAATGTTTGTTCTCTGTTAACTGCTGCTAGTATGTATTGTGTTATCATGGTTGTGTAGCCAATCATCAGTGGTGTAATTTGAAAGATTTCTTGTTTTGGGGATATATGACAGTGATTTATTATTAGGACTTTAAAAATAATTTTCAAAATAAACATTAAATATAAGGAATTTTGCTTGTTTTCTAGTGATTACAAAGTCTAAGATTAGTTCAGTCAGTTGGAGCATTCCAACAAATTAAATATCAATTCACATACTAGAACTATTTGGATAATTTCCTTGTTACCGTCCTAGCAACAGGGACTTACAGTCAAAAGGCATGAAGCGCGCCCCCAAATAGTTAGTTATTCAGTGCATTATTGGATTTTTCATTTTATTTTTCGTTTTCAAACTTCAGTTGATTAATGCAAAATTAAATTCAAATCTCGCACTCTGATAATAACAGAAAACAACTCGGCATTTCCAGCTAGTTTTTGAGACGGTCATTCCTTTCTCACGATAAGGAACAGATCCAACCAAATTAACAGACATCATATTGCAATGCATCGACTTGTGGAAATTACAAAAGAACAGCATGTTTACAAGCAAAATACGAAGAAGGCTTTATGAAAATCTGATCAATAATCCAATCAAATTTCGAAGTTTGAATTCAAATTTGATTTCAATAATGTAATGTTGAATTGACCAAGAATCGAATGAATTGAATAATGGTGTTTTGAGGGGGTGCGCTTCATGTCTTTTGAATGTAACTAGGAGATTTGTAGAGGTATGTGCTATTTCTGACAGCGACTTGATCCAGTGGACTAATTGCAGAGGTTGGTGATCACCTATGTTGGTCAAGTGGCTTATTTTTGGGTTAAGGTTATCCACTTCTAAAATTTTTGTACAGATTTTATCTGCTGGATAAGGATTTAGCACTATTCACCCTTTGTACAACTGGCCTCAATCAGCTTAATTAAGTGACATAATTAATGATTGTAGTGAATGTTTTAGGGCTTTGCCCTCATCTTGGTCAGGGTATACGTGGACTCTGAGTCCCTTAATAATTACAAGAATCTTTGTACAGTTCCACAATAGTTTATGAGTTTTTTATCATTTCTGGACATAATTTCAAGATATTTTCTCAGCAACATAAAGAGTTACCGAGCACAGGATCCCATCACAGACATGCTTTTAGATGCCTTGTGTCCATCAGAAATAATTCCTTTTGGTGCTAATGATTGATTGAACGTTTTTCTATTTGGTCTATTCTACGTTGCAACTGTTTGTGATAAAATAACAATAAGAATGCAACATAAAAAATATATAAAAACTGACTGAAATTTCAGATGGCGGCCTTAATCCTTTCTTGGTCCTTCAACATCTCAAATCATGTTATTTTGAAACAACAGTCAGAAAAACTGACAGCTCACCTACTTTACACCTAGTTTTCTGTTCTAATCGTACTGAATAAAGTAAGTGACTACATTAAAAACACTGCATAGATCGCAATTAACACTGCTACAAGTCCTAACATTACACCYGCATTAGGTAGAACTGATTTTGATCCAGAACCAGAAGGCAGTGTCATAGCAGCTGATATTTCATTGACCAGAACAACACCTTTTTGCTCACCTACGCCAACTAAAACATACTGTTTATCAGCCTTGAATACTCCATYATAATTGATATCAACACTTTTACGGTAGTCAGTCTTGCTTCTCAGTGTAATCATTATCCCTTCCATTTTGGGGCCATACCAGAAACCAACTCTATATTGAAACTTGGGGTCGGAGACTTTTTTGTTTTCGATTTGGGATCCGTCAGGCTTGATTATCGTTAATGTTCCTTCTCTTGAAAGTACAACTTGAATTCCATCTTGTGGTCTTACATCTGAGTCTGATCCCGTCAAACCCTTGCTTCCAAGTACTAAAGTTATCTTTTGAACAATATTAGAATTACCCAACGACAAGAAGAAGACTGTYAGATCAAAGTAGATTGTTGAGCGTGACTCTCCCGTCTTCACTTCCTYGATAGTAGAGGCCCAACCACCTTTTCCAGAGAACAAAATCTTTGTTTTACCAACAATGATATCAGAGCAGGRCTGGGATGCATACCCTTTCATTCCACCATACCATTCCAAGTTATATTGAGGATTAAATGTAGAAACATCTTTCCCTTTAAGAGCATTTGCAAACTGTTCTGCTTGAGATKTAGGAAGGTCATAGTAGACATTCTTCTTGTTAAAGATTGATTTCCGAAGCTCAACCAGGTCTGTAGCATTGAAATTATCTTTCTCTGAAGACCAAACTGTGAGCGTCAAGTTACTAGAAATGTCAACCAGCCAAAGAAGTTGAGTAAGTGATCTTTTGACTAAAGCTGCTCTAACTGGGAATGTRACWGGCTGMRRGATCTTCTGAATTAGTTTTCCCATTTCAATGACATTTTCCCAAGTGTACATATTCTTTGTGGCTGTCATGTCATTGCCTGTTTTCCAGCCAATTGATAACACRGCTGAGGGAAAGTACTTTGTACAAAGATCAATAAACTGCACTGCATCTACTGGAGTACATTCTTTATCAAAACATGGACCCATCAAAATATCAGCATTTAGCCAGATTGGTGTTGTTAGTGCTTTTGTATCAGAAACATTTTTCAACATCTTCAATGATGGTTCAACGGCCATGATGGACTTGAAGTCTAACTTCATACCCTTCTTRGTTTTGGAGACTTTGTCTATGAACTGAGCCAGTGTAAGGTTGCTGTCCAGTGCTGGAGGATGTGCCATGATAGGCTCTGWATCAGATTTGTTGTGTCGCATCTGTACATCAGCCTCTAGCATCGTGATATCGCTAGTCAAGGTTTGGTCAAGTTTTGYTGGGTTATTAACAGCATGAGCCCAAGTTACCTAACAAAATAATAATTATTCACATTAAAGATGGTCCACTAGCATTCAATGCAGTGTTTCATATATGGAAAATGAGGTGAATTCAAATATCCATTAACTGGYAAATTCCATTAGTTTAAAGGTCGAATCTTACAGTATCTCCATTCAATATATTATAAAGGAATAATAAAGAGTACGTTTTTGCTTATATTACGATGTATTTTTATTTTCAAACATGGGCAAAAGGGATGCTGGTGGGCCATGTCCCCTTAATCATGAAACTATAAAAACATCTCCTTTTGAGTCCTTGCTCTTTATACATGCAATATATGCACCATACTGATAAATATGCTCACCTCATATGCATCTTTAATATTAAACGAATCCAAGGTAGTATCAGTGGAAATACGGACCTTAGGACAAAACTTCATAGTAGCTGCAACTGCAAAGAAATATAAGTTAAGCTTGATCTGTCAGCTGACATCAAAAGCTGGAAAGACATTCTTTGAGCAACCTTTTTACTTAAAATACAATTTAAATTATAATTAAAGTTTTGATTATCGATAACTTAAGCTAAGCTTATCGTCTTCAAGCATTCGAGATTTTATAAACGGATGAAATTTGCACATTGTCAAATAAACACAACATTCTTCCAGTCTGCCGATCGAATGACGTTCAGTAACAACACCCAATCGAGGCTATGTCATCYTMTGCTATTCTTACTACACCTGTACTACAGAAACGTTCTATTGTAGGAAGAGTTTTGACATATAGAATGGCACTAATAATACACTTACTAGAGTTCTTATTAGGCTTTGGGTCCTTAGGTTTTGGTCTATCGGGATACATGAGGTAAAAATGCTGAAACTGACCACCTCGACCACCTCTTAGAAAGCGTCCTTTTGTTAAGCTTATTAAGTCTATTAAAGCTTACTTATTAAAGTTAATAATTAAAKACCAACGAGTAGTTTAAGAGGAGTTCAGCAAAATGATATATAGATAGATATTGATGTCCATAAAGTGTCACAAGTAAGCTGATRTCTTCGCTTCTCTCCTTTTCCCGTTGGGTGCATTAACCAATCAAAGCTTATAAACAAAGCCAGTCTGGCAAATTCCCTGTACTCAAATAGCTGAAAACCTACAAGATTGCTTACCTACTCCAGAAGGAACCAAGAGAGAAAGGTAAAACGGAACTAAAAGGTCCATGGCCCACAGAAACACACCAATACAAACGATAACTAGAAAAATACGACGAAGTCGATGAGACGACATGAATAGCACAGGAATCCCAAAATGTTAGTGGAACAATATACAAGTAGTCACGCAATCGACGTTTGACGAACCCATCTCAGTTTCGAAGTGCTTGGCATCCATAATAAAAACATTAGTCATTTACCACTGGGCGTAGGCATTAAAACGCCCCCTTATATTTTCACACAAAAAGGACGATATGCATCAAGACCGAGGTCTGATATTCAATCTGCAGGCCGAACAAGAGAGTTTGTTAAGACTATTTAACAAATAGATCTCATTTTTCCGTGCGTGTGTACTCTAATAGATACACAGATGACGTCAAAATGTAGTGAGAACAAAAAAGTACGCACGAGACGCAGTCGAGTGCGTGACTGTTGTTCTCACTACATTTTGACGTCATCTGTGTNGGTACCACTAAATTGGATTACAATTGCACCGTAAAGCAAGTAGAGCTAGTAAGATTAACAGCATGCTAGTCTTTTATGCTGGAGAGCTGTTTGTATGAAATTAGCCAAATTGTTTGTCTTCCCAAGTACCCTTTCGGTCTTAGCTTCTATGATTTGACCTTTTTGGACCCGACAACGTTTCTTCAATTAGGTGTATTTCTCTCTTTTGAAAAGTTGATAGCCTGCGTACATCCGTTCCCAACCCTCCTCCCCCGCCTACGGGGAAATTTTTCCCGAACTTTTCCCCGAAGGTGAAAAAAAAGAAATTTTTCTCCTCCTGCTAATTCTTATGCTAAATTTTACCCAACGCTCATCAGTAATGATTTTTTCAGAACATTTTCTCTTGCGTTCTCTTCTGTTTTACGAAGACATTTCATTCCAAAGAGAATGTTTTGGTAATATAAACACAGTTGAGAATCAAGCAATCAAATCCCTGTTGCTTTCTTTATTTTACCGCTAAACGCAAGGCCATCCTTTTTTTCTTTTATAAAATATACGTCTAAGACTCGATACGGTTAGTACACATAAATATTAAAGAAGTTAATAAATATATATAGTGTCACTCTTTTGCGGTTTTCTTTCGAGCTCTATGCTCTTTCTTCTTTCTTCTCTCTCAACTCGCTTTTCGTTGTGAACCATCTGTTGCCATTTATCCAAGACTTGTCCTTCTTTCAAAAGGCTTTTACATGTATATTTGTAACGTAGTTTTGGTCGACCGACAGGACGAGTGCCATTAAGTTCACCAAAGAGACTTTCTTTAGTAGGRCGATCGTTTTTTCCATTCTGGAGACGTGACCGAGCCATCGCAAGCGACTTAGTGAGAATACCTTCAATAACTTCAACATTAGCTCGGTCCAACACCTCCTCATTACTAACATGATATAGAATATTTATTTATACTTGCGAGCGTGCATTTACCGGCGAAATAAATCCCGCTATTGGACCAATCAGAACGCTCGTTCTATCACACATTATATATAAAATTACACAATAAAGATCGACTTTCTTTATCGCCCTGTAACCATGAAATAACAAAGAAAACCCTGAAAAAAATGAAAATAAAACAAAATCTATCGCCGTCGTGTTGGGTAAAATAACAGAAATCACGTTCAACGCGAGTATAGCTAAATGTACGYTCTTTCCTCTCCGTCGTCAATCTGCCATTCTTTTGCAGTGTGTGATTCATTTAAAGCCCAATAGATGTATTTCTCCAATTTCYTTTTTTTTGTCCATTCATCAATTTACCAACAAAAGGTATACTAAATTTCAAAATGTAGTATTTCCGCAACAAAAATTCTATTTTATTCTATTCACTATTCTGTTCATACGATAAGCTGCCTTTGTGTGACAGTGCTAAAACGTCCTCTTCCTCGCTTCAGCTATTTTCTCTGGTTGAGGTTTTTATGATGCATAATGTAGTTGAAAAGTACTTCAATTTTTTTTTCTCCGTTATCTGCCCAAAGTCTGTGGTACGTACTAAATCCTAGCAATCGATTAAAGGGACATCGTTCATCGTTCAACCAACACTAGCAAAGCGAAAAAAGACCAGTATGTTTGCAAACTCAACGGATTTACCATGGATAGTTCATGTAAACTGCATCAAGACTATCAGAAACCAAGCTATATTTGGACTGACACTGCTTTTCACCATTTTAATTCTAAACGGAACCATCTCCTTCGTCTTGGTTCGAAAACTKMGAAGACTTTCAGTGGGAAGAATAATCATTCTGAACTTGTCTTTTGCTGATTTCTTGGTGTCCTGTACAACTATTCCGTACGTGATAGCCTTGATGGCAGGCAGTCCACTGGTCAGTACATTTTGTCAAATTACTGGATTTTTCAATCGATTCACTCACTCTTCGTCTATGTATTTAATCACAATAATGGCGGCTTGTCGTTGTTACGGTATCCTCAAGCCTTTCCAATACCATGTTCATCTAACCCCTTCCAAGATACATAAGATRTGTGTTGGTGCTTGGTGCCTGGCACTTGGTTTGGCATTTATGCCATAYTTGGGATCAGTAGAGTACGAGACTTTAAAAGGACGATGTTTGTGTCARTTAAATACCAATAAATATCCCTTTAACTGGATGGTGTACTGCCTTATATCTTTCGTGGTACCGTTTGTAATAAACACAATAATATTCGTAAGCACAACCAGCAAGMTCATAGGACGCGAAGACATCACAAAACAGGCATTGAARTCAAAACCTGGAAATTTGGACAAAATTTTCAAGCAAACGAAAGGAGTACACCCCGAAGTCCCTATAGAAGACGTTCAGGGTATCTTCGCGGCAACACATTCAGAACTTGAAACTAGAAGAGGATTAGAAAAGCCTTCAGATCAAGAAAGAACAAATGATAAACAGACTTTTCAAGTAACAGTAGAAATCCACCAGGATTCAAGAACCTTAAACCCTGATCGCCTGACGCAAAACCCTACAGAACTTTTTCAACAGCCTGACGAGTCCAGCAGCAAAAATGAAAATCACTTGCAAATTATTGGTGGCATCGAAAGAAAAGATAGTAAAAAAATGGAAGASAACATGATRTGTAACGCAACACAAGACCCCCAATTTGAACCGCATGCAAGCCCGATTATTCAAAATCGCCCTAAACAAATCCAGTCAAGGAAAAGATCTTCCAAGAAGCGTATAATCCTGATTGTAGCGCTTATATTTGTTTGCTATGTTATATTATGCGGTCCGTCGTACATTGTCATGAGTTCGTACGCCCTAATGGCAAATTCTGTACCAAAGGAAGCTTTCAGTATTACAAATTATCTAAGTTTGACGAGTTCGTTCATAAATCCATTCTTATACGCGCTACTCAACGAGGAATTAAGGTCCGACATAAGAAAAATCTTTCCTTGCAAGAAGAGTTAACATATATATTCTGGCATAAAATACTGCAAACGGCGAGCAAACTGAAACACACTCATAAGAATTAAATCTGCTACGAATTGAAAAAAGTATTATTATTTTTTACTTA